TGAGCTTTAATGTTTAATCCTCATTTATATGGGAGAGTTGACACTGTACATCCTATGTTGGCTAGCCCAGGATACGATTGTGCTCAACTTAATCAATGCTTCTGAAATGAATAGCAGCCATAGGATAGAATTAGATGAAGTATACTATAATAGATACACAATTTTTAATAAACTATATTTATATAGAGAAACTCACTTTAAATTTTGATACATTTGTTTGATAGCGTTTTATCCAGCATCTTTCATCTCGAAACTCTTTATTCACTTTACACAACTTCATGGATAACAGTGTCATAGAAGGTAAAATTATTATTTTATGGAAATATTTTTAAATGACAAGGAAGAAAAAAGTTTTAAATACCATGCTTAACTTTAAAAAGTCATTCTATGGACAAGCAGATGGTGTAATGGTTACATCACTGGACTCCCATGTAGTTTACTACAGTTCAAATCCTGGACCCGGTGGTTTACAACTCATGCCAGACAAATGTGCATGCGTGCCTAAAGATCCCAAGAGGAGAATGGAGAAGGGACTGCAGCATGGCCATCTCTCCTGGGAGGTGATTTCTTGCTTTCTGTCTCTGTCTCTGGTGAGGCCACGTGCACTATTACAAAATCTCTCTCTAAAAAATATGATAATAAAAAGAAAAAGCCACTCTGAATGATGGAAGTTGTGGTGTGTTGTACATTTTATGAAGGTAAATAATCCCTAAATTCATAGATATGACACATATTTTAGTGGTTACTAAGAATAACTGAATACATTACATACTAGAAACAGAGAAGTTAATGAGGCCTCCAGGCCTTTACTCAATGAAGCTTTGTCCAGCCTACCAAAAATCACAGCACACCATTATGCCATTTCTTGGAGTGAGTTTTATTTTTTTTGCTTTTCACCACCTGTCTCTGTGTTTTCTTTTTCCTTTGCATAATTGTCCACCAATGTAAACCCTATGAGGGCAGGAATTTTTATCTGCTTTGTTCATGGCTGAACAGTCAGCATTTAAGACAGGGCCTGGTTGGGACCAGCAGATGGCGAAATGCCTGTGTCGCTGGACTCCCATGTAATCAACTTCAGTTCGAGTCCCGGGCCCAGTGGCTTAAACTCACGCCCGGCGCGTGTGCATGTGTGCCCAAGATCCCGAGAGGAGAATGGAGGAGAAGGGATCATGGAGTGGCCATTCCCCCTTGGGGTGATTTCTCACTTTCTGTCTCTCTGTCTCTCTCTGTCTTTCTGGAGAGCACGCGTGCCCTATAGCAAAAAAAACTCTCCAAAAAAAAAAAAAAAAAAGATAAGGCCTGGCTTGTGGCAGGCATTGACCAATTGTTGAATGAATGAATAAGTTGAATAAAAGAATCAAGTTTATGGGGACCAGCAGTTAGCGTAATGGATGTCGCTGGACTCCCAAGTAGTCGACCGCGGTTTGCGTCCCGGACCCGGTGGCTTAAAACTCACGCCAGGCGCGTGTGCATGAGTGCCCAAGATCCCGGGAGGAGAATGGAGGAGAAGGGATTGCGGTGTGGCCATCCCCTCTCGGGGGTGATTTCTCGCTTTCTATCTCTGTCTCTCTGTCTGTCTGGCGAGTGCATGCATCCTATAGCAAAAATCTCTAAAAAAAAAAAAAAGGAATCAAGTTATGTAGTGAGAAGCTGAGTTTCTACTATGGCATTTAATTCTCCTTTATCTCTATGGAGTAGGGAGCAAGGGCATTTGGCGAGTGTAGGGAGGTTGGAGGATGAATGGCAGCAATGGGATGGTTAGAATAATAAAAATATTACGAATTTGCAATAGTTTCTGGAGAACTATCAAAGGAGCTGATAAAGTTCAATTACTTCCTCTTCAGAAATGTCCCTATTAGCACCACATCATGGGGTGACATCAAGGCTTGGGGAATTAAAAAATCATTTTTAACAGAAAGCTTGGGAAATGTTGGATGAGTTGATTAATAACAGCCATTCTAGCTTTTATGCTTCAAAGATATTGTTCAGGTATACAAGTGAATGTAGAATAATTGCTTGCATTTATTAATATAATTTAAATTGTTTATACTGGTTGAATTGGAAATTATTGAAATATCTTATTTTTAGGCTATACTATGTCAACCTTCATAAGACGATACAGTCGGTACCTGAATGAAAAGTCGCTTGCATATAGAATGATTGCATCTGACATCACAAAATCCAAGAGAGGGTAAATATCATTAGTTTGTGTTTTAGACTGTTGTTGTGTTGCTACAAAGAAATATGTGAGACTTGGTGATTTATAAAGTACCAAAGTTTATTTGGCTCATGATTCTGGTTCAAGAACATGGGTCCCGCATCTGCCTATCCTCTGGTACTGTCACAACATAGCCAAGAAAAAGCAGATCAGCAGCCATGAAGGATGAGGAAACAGAATTCCCCATTTCCTCTGTTTGTCCCTCCCAGTTGATTGAATAGTACCCTCCCATCAGGTCTCCCCTCTTAAAGATCTCACCACCTCCAGAAACATTACATTGGGTGCTAAGCTTCCAAACATGAACCTTTGAGGGAAAAACTGTTATCTAAATTATAGCAGTTTAAAGCAAGAAATACTAAAACATACACATATGCAGTCTGCTTTGTCAAAAACACAGCTCTTTTATATGATGCTAATATTGCAGTAATTCTCAAATCTTTAATTATTGCTATTTATGAATTTCTTTCTCTTTTATAGAACAGATGGTGTGATGAGAACTATGAATATCAGAGAGCTGCTAAACACACTTCGAGTTATTCAAACCCAGTTTGATGCTCTTCTTAAGTTTAATGTAAGAACTTCATAAATTCTCTTTTTGAAATATTAGTAAATGGCATTGTTTCACTATAGGTGGGACAAAAATTTTTTGAAAACACTGGTAGTGATTGATTACTCTTCTATTTAATTTTTAGGCAAATCCTGATGAACTAACTAATGGTGTAATACATGCTGCTTTTATGCTCCTCTTTAAAGACTCTCTTCGTCTCTTTGCAGCCTATAATGAAGGGATCCTTAATCTGCTAGGTAGGATAAAGAATAACCACTACTTTTTAAAAGATAAAACTGTAAAAATAATTTATTTGTAAAAATCTTTTGTCTCTACACCTAGATTCATATTTACCTTGTGTTAAAAATAAAACATCCTTTCAGGGTCATGTATACTTTTGAGTAATGAAATATTATTTTGAATTTTTGGTTAAAAACTGTTTATTTAAGAAATCCAGCAGGTGAAGTAATGGTTACGTCGCAGGACTCTCATGCAGTTGACAGTGGCTTGAGTCTCAAACCTGCCGGCTTAAAACTCACACTGGTTGTGCGTGTGTGCCCAAGATCCCGTGAAGAGAATGGAGGAGAAGGGATTGCGGTGGCGCCATCCCCCTGAGGCTGATTTCTCGCTTTCTGTCTCTCTGGCAAGCACACACACCGTATAGTAAAAATCTCTCTTTCTAAAAAAAAACAGTATTTAATTCCAGGACTTTTCAATTTCTATATAGAAACTGAATGATATTTATGGAAAATTTATTACGGAATCAACATGGGTTGCCATATTTATATATTATGCCATGGTGCTTATTTCTGCCAAGGTCAAATAACACAGTTCTGGCTTCCCTAAGAAGTTAAAGACTGTAGCATAAATTACTGTTATTGATTATACCCAAGCACTGTTTAGGCTTTTCAGAGAAGTTCTGAAATAATTTAGTCCTAACAATGATTATTTTCACTTCTGGACTAGAAGTTGCAGAAATTAAAATTGAAACTATTTTTGTATGTTATTAGATTTCATATATTCTCAACACCAGTAGTTACTCCATAAAAATCTGTTAATTATGAGGACTAAGCAGTGCTATTTCTTTAACAAAAACAGAAAATAACTGGATTAAAACTATAATCATTTTGAACAGGTTAAAGTAAACTCCAGAATCAACTTAAAATAGAATAATAATGGAGTGAAACTTGAAAATTGCTAGGATATTGGCTCCTTCATGGTAATTTTTCCCCCTACTTTTAGACAAGTATTTTGACATGAGGAAGAACCAATGCGAAGAAAGTTTGGATATTTACATGAAGTTCCTTGGAAGAACAACCAAATTGGCACAGTTTTTGAAAGTCGCAGAGGTACAGAAATCCATTTCTTTCCAAGATTTTACTATTTTGAACATTTCTGTTTTCTACATTAGTTTATGACTAAGCATAACTATACCTCCTCCCTCCACCACCATTACCACACTAGTACACCGAAATTGGTAGTAGATTTAATTATTTTGTAAACAGCAAAGTTAGAAACTAAAATTGTATACTTTTTTTTGAGAGGTTATTTTTTTAATTTAATTTAATTTTTTTTTCTATATGGTGCGTGCGCTCACCAGACAGAGAGAGACAGAGAGATAGAAAGCAAGAAATCACCCCCCCATGGGGGATGGCCACGCCGCAATCCTTTCTCCTCCATTCTCCTCTCGGGATCTTGGGCACGCACGCACACGCGCCCGGCATGAGCTTTAAGCCACCGGGTCCGGGACGCAAACCGCGGTCGATTACATGGGAGTCCAGTGATATAGCCATTACGCTAACTGCTGGTTCCTAAAATTGTATACTTTAAAGGTATTATCCAATACACCTGTGGTCCAAATCATTCCTAGTAGGACTTCCATTTGCCGCCATGAGAATAACCAGTACTGAGCTTACCCTCCTACCAGAAACAACTCTAAAATTGAAACAAAGTATATATGACCTAAGTCTTTTCAGGAGTGGACAATAGGTAGAGTATTTCACAGTCAGCAAGAAAAAGAAAAACATAGTTTAACCCCATTTGCACCCTGATTCTCAGAGGAACCCAAACAGGATAAATTCAAAGAGAACCACACCTAGACAAGTGGAGTCAAATTTCTGAAAACCAAAGAAAACAAAGATGTATTACCCATAGCAGAACAGCAATATGAATAATGGCTGACTTTTGGCTACCTGTAGAATGCATTTGTATATAATCCAAAATGCAGTTTAGCTTTTTCAGAAACAGCAGAGACTCAATATCCAGCAAGTCTTTTCTTTGAGTCTGTTCTTAGGATAAGTTGGGGCTTAAGTGTACAAGCGTACATAATTTAACCTGATGTGCTTTTCTTGGATCTCAATAGGTACCAGTGTAGAAAGGCATCATAATCTTGGAGTATTTCCTCTTTTATATACACAATGGTCTCTCAATTACTTTTTCGTGTCACCATTCCCTGCTGTAATGTGTATTTCTCCCCCTCTCCTTTTTTTTTTTGGTGAATTCAGCAAGTTGGAATTGACCAGAAGAATATCCCATATGTTACTCAGGTCAGTGTATCTCTCTTTGTATTTAAGTGACTTTTTGTCTTTATGTTTGCATGTTTATTCTATTAATCATCTTCTGAAATTTCATCCTTTACCATATGCTTAGACATGTATGTATTTTAATTTCTCATATATATATATATTGACTTATGGTATAACAAGGAGACCATTCTTTTTAAATGAACAGAACTGATCAGTGAAACAGTAAGGTATTTGGAGTAAAGAACTTAGGTTTAAGGGGTGTCTTGTCTACATTTCGGGTGTGTAATCTCAAGCAACTCATTTCTTTTTTCTGTTTTTTGTTTATGCAACAGAAAAATGGGTATAATGCCATTGTTTATCTCCTAGCAGTGTTGTGTTATTGGTCTATTCAGGCTTTCTATTTCTTCCTGGTTCAATCTTGGAAAATTATATGTGTCCAGAAATTTGTCCATCTTATCTAGGTTTTCTTGTTTGTGGGCATATAACTGTTCATAGTATTCTTTGATGATGCTTTGTATTTCTATTATGTTCGTTGTAATAGTCTCTGTTTCCTTGCTGATTTGATATATCTGGTTCCTTTTTCTGCTCTTGATTAATCTAGCTAATGATGTGTCAATTTTGTTTATCTTCTCAAAGACCCAGCTTTTGGTCTCATTTATTTTTTTTATTCTTTATTTCATTTATTTTTGCTCAAATCTTTATTATTTTTTTATCCTGGAATTTTGTTGTTGTTGCTTTTTGTTTGTTTGTTTTTGTTTTTTCCAGTTCCCTGAGTTGTGTCTTTAAGTTGTGTATTTACTGTCTTTCTGCTTTGTTCTTGTGGGCACTAATTGTTATGAACTTCCCTTTTATAACTGCTTTTGCTGTGCCCCATAGGTTATAAACACTTGTTTGTTCATTATCATTGGTTTCTATGAACGTTTTGATTTCAGACTTAATTTCTTCAGTAGTTGTAAAGTCATTCAGGGATAGGTTATTTAGTTTCCATGTGTTTGTGTATTTTCAAGGACTCATAATTGACTTCAAGTCTGATTCCATCATGGCAAGAAAAGATGCTTTCTATACATTTGAATTTTTAAAGGCTTGTTTTGTGCCCTATCATGTAGTTGATCTTCAAAAATGTTCCAGGTGGAGGTGAGGAAAAGTATATTTTGTGGTTGTTGAGTGAAACATTCTATAGATGTCTGTCAAGTCTATTTCATTTATGTTATCCTTTGGATCTTGTATCCCTTTGTCTTTTTGTTTTGTTTTTTTTTTTTTTTCTTATTTTTTTCCAGATGATCTGCCCAGAGGAGACAGTGGAGTGTTGAGATCCCCAATGACTATTGTGCTACAATCTATCTCTCCCTTGAGATCTAACAGTCTCTCTTTTATGTATCTAGGTGCTCCAATGTTGGATGTGTAGACATTTAAAAGTGTTATATCCTCTTGGTGAACAAGTCCTTTTAGTAATATGATGTCCTTCTTTGTTTCTTCTTACATCTTTTATCTTAAAGTCTATTTTTATATCAGTATTACAACTCCAGCCTTTTTTTGGTTTCCATATGCATGGAATATCTTTTTCCAGCCCTTCACTTTTAGTCTATGTATCTCTTTATCAGTGAAGTGTGTTTCTTGTAAGCAGTGTATAGATGGCTTCTTTTTTTTTTTTAAATCCATTCAACCAGTCTGTCTCTTTTAATAGAATTTAATCCATTAATATTTGACACTATTATTGATATTTCTGGACTTATTCCTGTCATTTTGTTAGCCATTTTCTTGGTCGACTTTGTTCTCTTATTTCCACTTGTCTCTCTTTAGTTTTCCTGATATAATACTCCCTTTAGTAATTCTTGTAGAGCTGGTCTAGTACTGGTGAATTCTTTCAGTTTTGATTTATCTGAGAATACTTTTATTTGTTCTTCCAATTGGAGGGATAATCTTGCTTGATATAGTATTCTTGTTTGAAATTATTTTTCTTTTAATGTTTTAAATACATCTTCCCATTCTTTACTGCATTGTTTCAGTTGAGAAGCCTGATGTTAGCCTAATGGGATGAACTTTATAAGTAACTTGACATTTCTCTCTTGCCATTTTTAGAATATTATCTTTGTCTTTGATTTTTACCAAACATTCCTTTCTGTACAGATAAGTACCAAGGAGACCTATACATAGACATCAAACCTCACAGAGTGGTCCACAATAGGAGCTGCTATTAGATGAAATGATACACAAATTTCTGATTGAGAAGTCACCTATCCAGTAATGGGGAGACAGACAATGAAACTCTCTGGGTTAGCAGGAGAGAAGATGGGTTTCATTGCCTAATAGAACTGAAACAAGTGAATTTCAACCAACATTCATTCACAAACATGTTTGACCCCTATTTATCCATAACACATGAGACACAATTCTAATCCCTGAATTCATGGAAAACAAAACAAAACAAAAATACAGAAGCATTACTAGATATATACCACAATGTAGTCCTCTGATTTTTCTCTACAATGACCTTGCTTCCTTGAAGTGGGTGGTGGAAGAAGAAATGGCACCTTTGTTGAGACCACAGCCTCAGCTATTTTAGGGGCATGGATGAACATTAACTGAGCAGCATCTGTGGCCTGAACTCTAAGGGGACATCTGCCAAGTGGAGCACTCAAGTAGAGGGCTGCATTTCTCATTGAGCCAAACCCTCTCCTCATTACCTCAGATCCAGGATTCCTGGATCAAAAGTGGAGTAGATGATTATGGAAGTCTGCAAAATGCAGGGTATGGGAGTGTCTGGGTAAACTTTCATGTAGATCCCTATTCATTCCTGTGCAAATCACCTAATTTTACTGCAGATCTTCCTTACCAGCCTGCTGGCTCTGGCCTTCTGTCAGTACAGAGAGTTATTACTTTTAAATTTAGATTAATATTTTATTTTCTCTTATTTTTACAATCACTGTATATCTTTACAACATTGAAAATGAATTTTCCAGCATGAATACTCTGTGTGTTAGTTCAGTCAAAGAAATTACCGAACACATTGTCATAACAGATCATTTTCCATATTTTTGTCTGTGGATTTTTTTCCCCTTGATTCCCCCCCTCACCCTCTCCTTTTCTGACCCTCCTCCCTCACTGTGTCTGGTATCCATAGTTGCTTTCCATGCTTTTATTCCCATCTTCTAATTTCTGCCATAAAGTGCAGACATTCATTATATACTGTGTGAGGACATACAATGCCTTTCTTTCATAGTCTGGCTTGTTTCACTTAGCAGTAAATCTTCCATATTTGTCCAATTTCTATCAAAAGCCATGGTCTCATTTTTTTAAATTTTATTTATTTATTTATTTATTTTATAGCTGAGTAGTATTCTATAGTGTATCTGTTCCACACTTTACAATCTATTCATCTGTTTGTGGGCATTTTGGTTGATTCCATGTCTTAGCAATTGTGAATAGTGCTGCAATAAACTTGGATGGGCAAATGGTTTTCCAACTGAGTGTATTTCTATCCTTTGGGTAGATACTTAAGAGTGGATTTACTTAGATCATGTGATAGTTCTATTTGTAGGTCTTTGAGGAACCTCCATATTGTTCTCCACAGGGGTCGTACTAATTTATATTCCCACCAACCATGTAGGAGAGTTCCCTTTTCATCTTGAGTTCACTTGGCAGACCTGTTCTGGTGATGAGGTGCTTTCTGGAATGTCCTTGAAACCCTGGGGTGGAGTGAAATGCAGGGCTACCTGGAGGAAGAAAGAGGAAAGAATTAAGTCAGCCCCACCTTTGCCCCATTCACCTGGAGGTCTGCTGGGAACATGCCCAGTTTCAAGGAGTTTTTCAGCCATTCTGCCCATAGGTCCCATGAAGGGTGTTAAGGTATTGCACCAGGACTGAGGACTTGCTAGTTTCTCCTTGTGGTTCTGATAGAATTTACCTTGTATGAGTTGGTGCTAACCTGCTAGGTTTAAACTACTCACCATTTGAGGAATCCCTTCTGGATCTTAGTTTCCTAAGAGGGACTCTCCTCCATTTTGTCAGTGCACTCTTTCTGCCCTAACTTGTACATTGTCTGGGAGCCACACAGTTGCCTACTGTGAGCGGCTGTCTGTGACTGTCCCTGTCCTTTCCACGACAACCTGCAATTCCTGTAGGGCACGACTCCTGGAAATGCATGTAGTAGGGGTCTGCTCTGTCTGCAAAATCTGATGATGCATTTTTATTTTTCACTAAAATAGTTCAGGCATACACATCTCCAGGCGACACTCCTCATCAGAGCTCCAGGGGCACAAACCCTGGACCTCCTGGACTGTTCCACCCTGAGGTGCACCCAGATACATCTTCCCACAGGTGGTGACCACCCTGTTTCTGTGGTTTGGGTGGCTGGAGGGCAACCTGTGTGTCTCACCAGGGAATTCTTACAGCTTTGTGTCTGCCTTTTTAAAGTCATGCACCTTGATGCGTTTTAAGTTTTCAGCTTTTCTAATCAGTTTTCTGCCAATCATGTCTGCTAAGATTGTGTGGCAGCTATCCACACAGTTGTAGCTGACAGTGACTTGTCTGAAAG